GATTCTCCACCATGGTTTAATACCATTGGAGTTGAAGAGGCTCATTGCAGTGGAATCACTGAGCATCACAGGTTGTTTAGGGCACACCTGGTCTCACCCACTTGATGCCAATAGCACTCACCCTCGGGACACCAGAATATTTTTAGACATGGACAAATGCCCACAGGGATGGGTGAAAGGAGTGAGGAGATCCACCCAGTAGTTCTAGCAGAGTGGAAGCACATTGTTAGATCTCCCATACTCTCTGGGTTAATGCTCCTTAGGGCCAGAAGGAGCCTACCTAAGGTTCCTACCTCTCTGGAGGTCCACGGTTAGCAAAAAAATGTGAGCATGAGGAGAGGGAAAATAAGTAACTGAACAGAGAAGACTTGCTGTAGAAATCTAATGAACCAGTGAATGTCATGATTGTGTGCCAATTAAATATTTAACCACACATTTTTGTAGAACATCAAGTTGTGTAAAGTTCAGGATATTGGTGACTGAGCCCAGGAGAGTAATTACAGGTGACACCTGATCCCGACTCAGCTTCCAAATCCGGTTCCTTGTCCCAAGTCACTAGATGGATCCGGGTTAGGTTGGATCAAGAGAATGTTTACTTCTGGGGACCAAAAGGGCTGAGGTGGCCCAGTCCTTGGATGTCAGGGCTTCAACTTCTTCCTCTTTTTACCTGGCTCTGCCTGTGGTGGCTCAGTCCACAGCCTTCTCCAGAAACACAAAGAATGTGCTTTTAGCACCAGGATATCAGGCTGGTGCCCAGGCTTAGACTTGGGTGGGAGTCTTGCCTTTCTTCAACTTTCTATTTTAAATGAGCTTCTTTTACTAAGAGCACCCAATAATACCACATGTTAATGTGATCAGAAAATTCTTTGTAGAATATGAAAATGTGTCCTCAAAACCAGTTATACAACAACTAATTCGATGCCTACTGTGTCACTTTTGTCACACAAAGACCAGAAGAGCACAGGCAATGACCTGTAGAAGCTTCAGAGAGAGGAAAGAGCCATGGTGTAAGATCCTTGTCATGCGCAGAAAGCTGCAGTCAGAAAAACCATAAGGTCTTGAAAAGGAGATCCCAAAAGGTTCAAGGCCATAATATGACACATGAAGTATGCTGTCTCTGATGTGGTATCAAGAATATATAAGGACTTTTAACCTTAAGGGACTCAGGCAAGGACAGTGGAGGAGAGAAGACCTCGGATGGAGCAATGGCCTCAACAGAAAACTGTGGGGTCTGCACAGAGATCTACCTGGAGTCCACAAAGGCAGTTGTGCAAATCAAGGTCACAAGAGCCACCCGACTCATAAAATGAAGGACCATAGGGGTCAGACTAAGGCAGTTAATAGTGTTGAGAGGGGTCTCTGATGCCAGAACACCTGGCTCCTTGGTGGCTCTGCCACCCACAAGCTGTGTGCCCTTGGTCAGTTTACTTGACCTCTGCCTCACTATGTTCAGCTTGAAAGAAATAATGTGCCTGCCTCATGAGTCAGAAACCACACATCTCTTTTTGTGCAGGAGAATCCTGGTTACTGCTACTAAAAGCGGTGGTCTCAGTACCCTGCATTGAGTAGGTGCTCTATAATGGTTTACCATGCATGTTCTACTAAAGCTGGAAATAAATACCACGTATAGGAGCTAGATTCTGAGGTTAACAGGCCACCAGGAGATAAAATATGTTCAAAAGCAAACTTATGTGTCAATTACACTTCAAAAAACTCTTACAGAATGAGTCAGGCAACTTTCAACTAAGAATCAATCAAAATATAAGGCTTGTTTTCAACTCTGGTGCTTTTCCTCCTGACCAAACACAATTCTCTCTAGATCTTGTAGAAAATGTAAAGTAGCAGGGAGTTTCAGGGGCCTCTAGTGGTCTGCTCTGTCCTCCATAGGGGCACAGAACAACTTCCTCAATGTTACGAATTAATCACTGGCAACTGACATGGAGGCAGTCCCTGCTCTATGCCCAGCCCTGTTGTGAGGACTTCCCTGCTGTACTCAATCCAGCCTCATGAAAACCCCAGAAAGATCACTACTGTATGAGGAGACCCAGTGGAGTCAGCTCCACAGCAGCATTTGCCTTAGGCCTGGGAGGTGCCTAGTCCAGTAGAGCTCTGGATACTCTGATCAGTAAATATCTCACTTCCATCAAGACATCTCCTAGACCAGGGTCTTTCCTGGAGTTTCTGGCCTGGGGAAGTACTACTCCACCCTGCTTCTAGACATTTGTGTGATCAGAAAGGAGGAAAGATTCCCATCCAAAGACCATCCTGGAGGCTAATGTCAGCCCTGGAGTTTAGTGGCACGACTAGCTTTACACAATGAGTGGAAAAGAAAAGCATGAAGTATCCTGTGCCCACAGAGTATGGGACTGATTTCTAGGACTAGCTTGCAATGAACAGAAGTCTGATACCATCCCATCTTCAGAACTCTTTCATAGGCTTGGTGCCGATGCCTGAGTCACTGAGGAAAAATAGCTTTCACTGCATGTTATTACTTTTGTTCATCCAGGCAAGACCTCACATGACAAAATACTAGTGTGAGTATATCTCAGGCCTTCAATGAGCCTGAGGATAGGCCCAATATAATTCTTCCTTACAGCACATATACCTGTCCCCCATGACCCAAGCTATCCAGGATAAAATCTGAGTAGTTCCCCTCTATAGCATGGTTTTTCATAGCAGGTGGTCAGTAAATGTCATACCAATATAGAAACCAAAGGCTACCTGACTCCTCCAGTTTCTGAATCTAATTTTGGGCCTGACTCAAAATACCTTTGGGGAGAGAAAACAGCAGGCCAGCAATACCAGCATTCACACCTTTTGGGCTCTTCTATTGCTGCTTAACAACCCTTGCTTTTACATATTTCTATTGTGAGTGAAGTTATAGTCTTTGACACACCAGGAAGGATCACCGCAGGCTATGCAGAAGAACAAAGATGAAGAAACAAACACTTCACTGCACAGGATTTGGGATTCTTTTTGCTGAGGATGAACCCTGCTCAGGGTCTGGTGTTGCAGCAGACAGCAGGGCATATCCAGACCACTGGGCACCAGACAGAGCCCTCACCATGGACTGTTCAACCAGTCAGGCTCCACTTCCTTACCAAAGTCTTTCCCTTGCCTTTGGAATGGACATCACCAACAATGGTCAATGGGGAGAAAGTACACACATAAGAACATAACTTTCTTTCCATTTCCAGGTTCTTCTAAATCAATATTGTTCTTGGCAACATCGCATAAGCTGAATGATGGAAAGATATGAGTCCCCAACAATATCAACAGAGAACAATGCATCCACAGGTGATTTACTCTTGACACATCTCTCAGGCTCTCTCACCCATTTCTTTTATCTTACTCTTCCCCAACTTTGTTTTTCTTGTTCCTCCATACCATCCCTGCTTAGGCTGATGTGCTGTTGCTGCCCTAGGAAGTGGTCCTGTCCCTCTCTGACACCAAGAGGGACACATTGACTGCATCCCTCAGCTTTCAAAGTGCCATGTGCACTCATGGCCTGTGTACTTGCTGTTGCCTCTGCCTATACATCTTGTCCCAGAACATCCCCTAACATACAGTGTTCATTCAGACGAGATAAAATGTCCCCATCTGATAGCCTGCCTGGTCCTCTTTGTAGGATGCTGCTGCCCCAGTAGTTGTTTTGTTATTCTTAACACAAACACTTTTCTTTTCTCTTCTATTCAATTGCAGGCTTGTCTGTTACTTCTGGTTAGAGGGAAGGTGCACAAGTGCAAGGTCCTGCTTGACTTGCTCCTACAATGGAATCTCTGACACACAGCACAGGGCCCATCCTAGGAGATTCAAGGTTGTTAGGAGCATGGATGGATATATAAATGGGTGGATGATGGATGGATGGGTGGATGATGCATAGATATATAAATGGGTGGATGAATAGATAAATGAATGGATGGATAGATGGATGAGTGGAGGGACTAATGGAAGAATGAAACCTCCATTTAGCCCTAACTACTCTGTTTTAAGGCCTTGATAGGCTCTTTACATCAATTATCAGGCATCATTAAGAAGCCAGGAATGGGATCCTGTGTGCCCACTTTAGAAATGAGAAAAGGAAGCTCTGGACAACCAGCACTATAACTTGCCCAAGATCATATCATGACTAGTGGCTGCATCCAAGGTTCAAATCTGCAGCTGCACAAACCCAGGTTCCAACCCTCTTACCTTTCAGCACTACCTGTCCCTGCCCCTGATGATCTCTAATCATACTTCTCACATCACCCTTTGAATCAGATGGGCAAACACAATCAAGAACTAACAAAAACTAAACTTAGTTCTAAATTCGTAACTAATTTTATGACCTTGACTTAACTAAATGAGAGTGTTTCGTGAAAACAGCCTTCAAAGAAGGTGAGAAATTGTTTCTATTTTCCTCTTCCAAAGCACTGGCATTGAAGTCTATGGGAGAGGAAAGTTTGTCCTCTCCCATAGCATGTGGTATTGCACCCAACCCAGGTGTTTGGAGAATAGGAATGAACAGACTGAATGTGAAGTGTGCTGTACCCTCAAGAGGTAAAAGAGAAATAAGAGGAGTAACAGGGTGCAGGGAGAAGAGGAGAGGATGGTGGTGGTGGAGGAGGAAGAGTTGAAGGTGAAGGAGGAGGAGGAGAGGGCCGGGGAGGAAGAATTAGGGAAAGAAGAATACATAATGTGGGCCACAGCAATAAGAAAGCAACAGGGTTGGCAACACAGACTCACAATGTTGTCATTTGCCTTATTTTACAAGCACTTTGATGTTAACGTCACCTAATGTCCTCACCACTGTTTGAAGTTCCAAGATGTTTGAGGGTTTTGAAAGCTCTGGTTTGAGAGTTAAATGAACAGAGGCCACGTTGGCTGTGTCTAAGAGATTCTCTCAGTCTCTTCCTGGCCCAAGGCCAGGTTTACCCTGTGACTCATCCTGTCATCTGTGGGAGGGATTAGGGCAGCCACCAGGGGAATAAAAGGCTGTGTTCTAGACAGTCATCCCCAACTTGAGCTCCTTCTTTCTGGCAGGCCAGAGTGACCAGCCCACAGCAGCTGCCTGAACTATGAAGCTGGTGACAGTCCTCATACTGACTGCCCTCCCCCTGTACTGCTATGCAGGTGAGCACAGGGACTGTGCAGGCTTTGCAGGAGGGCTGTGCTCAGGGCCCCTGTGCAAGAGCTGCTCCCCAACCCCCCAAAAGAGCAGCCCATTTCTCTCGTGTAAGTGCTGTGTGGGTGGGGGGGGGTGGCAAGAACAAGAAGGCAGATGCTTTAGGGCTAAAAGAAAATTTCAGGTCCTCAGTTGAGTCTCCTAGAAGTGAGGACTCAGACCAAACCCACCACCTTTTTGAGTGTAAGTCCTTGTGGAAAGGTAAGATGACAGCATCATAGTCAGGCCCCACATGAAATTTATACCTCTGTCACTGAACCTGCATTTGCATGCTTGTATCCCAGGGATTGGCTGTGACCTTTTGGATGATGTGGTCAATATTACCATTGATCCTGATGTGAATGTGACAGAATACATCAATAACATGCAAGAGTTCTTACCAGGTGAAGAAACAGAAAAATCCTTCATATTGCTGAAGGAATGTTTTCTCCATCAGAGCAGAGAAACTCTGGAGAAGGTCCAAGAGATGCAGGTAATTCTGGTGTCTATTTTACCTGCATTTGAACTGCAGGAAAGGACTTGCATGCTCTCAGTTTGTGACAACTTTTTGGAAACATGTGATGGTCATTCTTGTCAGGAAGACTCCTTCTTTCTTTTTAACAGAACCTTCAGTGCATTTTCAAGCAAACTAGGTGTGCTAGCACCAGTGTGTGGATTCTTTCACTGTGGATTAAAGGCCCCAGAGTGATACTTGGAAACCATGGCTATGAATTCCCCCTTAGTGGTGGGTGAGGGGAAAACAGAAATCAGTGGTTTCACATGAGGCAGTCTTTCAACATATGACAGATGTTGTGTAGAGTTTTCTACTGCTCATTCCCTGCCCTAACATATGGTTTGAAACATTCCAGGGTGACCACCTGGACTGCCAGAAACCAAAGATGAAATTGCAGATCACTAAGAAATTCCTGACACAGGGGATGGCATGGAGGAACCTTGGGTTATTATGAGAAAAACAATGAGCCAGTCACAAAAAGACAAATATCTCATTTTTCAGAGTAGACAATTTTTTAGACAGGGTGGTAGAAGAGTGGTTTCCAGGGTGGATGGGAAGAAAATTTGGCCAATGGGGAGGGTCTGCAGCTACAGGTCATTGAGATGAGAAAGTCCTGGAGGTCAGGTGGGCTGCCGACTGGATGTTATTCACACGATTGGCTGTGCTTTGAAAGTGGTGAAAGAGTAACATTTGTATGTGAGTTTACTGTAATTTAAAATTTTTTTAATTACCAGCCTCTTTTATTCAAGATGATGGGAATTTTCATTAAATCCTTGGTTAAACAAGGAGCACACACCTGCAATGTGTTATTGCCCACAGGGGCTGGGCGGCAGGACACATGGGGCTTTTGGATCTACTTTTGATGTGTGGGAACTGAAAATTTCACATCCCTCATTTTTGGATTGAGGTACTGAAAATGGAAACACAGCATATTGTTTGCTATGTTATTTCGAAAAAGGAAATATGCAGATAAAAGTGACCAAGGGAAGTTACCCTGGTGGGGAGAAGATGGGGCAGCACCAGCACACTTAGGATCAGTCATGGTCACCTGAATGAAAGAACAAATGCGATACTTTCAGCTTCTCTTCCAGCACCAGCTTCCTGTCAATACATGTGGACCAATCCAGGAAAACAACGAGGATGCATGTTTGTTCTCCAGGATGTTCCTTGGAAAGAACAAGTGAGGTGTAAGTGATGTCTCTGTTTTTGTTTTCCAGGAAGCAATATACAGCAGCTTTTGGTGTGCTCGGTATTAACTTCCACACGACCTCAGAGATTGTCCAGAAACCGACTGTTCATGGTAGAAGCCACAGCTTAGCTTTCCTTCTTTTTCTTTGGATCTACAAATGCAAGACAATTGTTGAAACCTCACATGCAATTTAATTTCATAAAACATTTGCAAAACTACTGTTGTTTCTAGGTTTTTGAATAAAATGCAGCCTCACATTACACATGACTTGCTCCCACACATGCACATGCATACCCACCAGGACACAATTGTTTACAAAACTCAAGGGCAAAGTGCTAAGAATCTGAAGGGCATCTTGTCCATCAATATCCAGAACCCAACACTGATCCTGTCACTAGCATGTGACTATCCTTTCTCATTCCTACTCCCAGGACAATTAGGTCACTGTCAGGCTCTCAGGTCCTAGCGGTGGTGGTCTTCTCAGGTTCCTGAGTCCATGGCATGAACTGGCCTGTCACCACAGCCTGGCTCCACTCTCAGCATTCTCTGTCCTAGACCTGAAGTCTCCACCCAGTGCTGACAAAGATCCTCACCCACAATTCACACCCATAAGAGGAAATTCTCACACCACAGGTGAACCCCTATGAAATAGGCTTTCCCCAAACAGCAAATGAATGCCATCTCCTCCTCCTGACAAAGCACTGAGCCCTGCCTGAAGAGCACGTTCCACACTTGGGTTCTGACTATGTTGGGCTTACCTCCTGGGACAGTCAGGCATCTGTGAAGGCCCCTCTAAGCCAAGTGGTGGCTGAACTGTTCCTTCTCTTTAACCCCTGGATTGTGTGCTCCCACTGAACCTGCCACCACTGCTTACTGGTGAGCTTCCCAGCAGGAATCAGGCAGGGTGTGCATCGGGAAGCTTATACCTCAAACATGCTTTCACACCTTCCCATTCCCCTCAGGTTATTTGGATCCCTTTCACAAAAAATGTTCATTCCCTGGTTCATTTATGGAGCTTTCAGCTACTTTCTTCCATGCCAACCTTCTGCTTTTCCACTGGCATGGATTGGACATATTTGGACATAGTTTCTCGGGAGCAACTCCCCCATCTGGGGTCCACACACACCACCACTTGGCACCAACACTCTGGCCCCATCTCCATTTTTCCCAATACACCAGTCAACCTTGTTCTCTGGATATTGCTGGTGTGTCGGCACAGTCCACATGGTTCATGGCAACTTTTCCAAGTAACAAAGGCAATGCCCTCTCACTGACTCCCCCAACTATATCATGAGACAAGAGGGGCTCCCAGGGAACATGTGAACACATAAACATCTCCATAACTGTACTAGGGCAGCTCAGGCATGTCCTGAGGCAGATAGGGCCAATGTGGTCCAGGAGCCAAGTCTGAGGAGTTGGGGGACATTCCTGGACTACCCAGTCAAGGGCCTAACCTCTGGTTCTGCACTCTTGCACTGGCAATCATTGAAACTGCCATTGCTCAGGATCCTGAAGCCTCTCCTCCCTTTCAAGCCAGTAACCAGTCCAATGAGAACATGGCCATTTCAGTGGCTGCAGCCATACTTCTTTCTCCTTCTCACTCCCCATCACAGACCTTCTGTGGCTTTGTCCACACGTCCACTCTGAGTACAGATAAGTGGACCCCTTTCCAAATGGGCTACATCAATCTGTGAACAAAGGCCAACTTCTGCATGTGAGTGCAAAGCATCAAGACTGAGCAGAGCCCATGAGTTCCTAATAAGCAGGTATGCATGCAGGAGGTGTAAGAAGCAAAACGTTACAATGTGAGGTGTAGATCCAGGGACATGGTCCGTTTGTTTGGGCCTATTATTGTCACCAACCTGGAGGTGTTGTGAAGACGTGCAAGATATTTTCTATTATGACCTATTGAGTCTTTGGTACTTTCGGCCTTTTCTGTATGCATTGATATAAAGAAAAATAGGAGTTCTGGCCAAGATGGTGACATAAGTAGATATGCTTCATGTCCTCGCACCATCAGAAGAAGGAAACAACCTATTTAAAAACAAATCAACCAGAACTACCAGAAAATTGAACTGAATGGAAGCCTGACAACCAAGGAGTTAATGAAGCAACAATCAACTAGACTGGTGGGAGTAGCAGAGATGGGTAGCCAGGGAAGAGAACATCCATAGCAAGGTGACCACTGGTGGACCAGGCAGTCCCACACTGGCTTGTGGATAAAATGTGAGTAACAACTGGGGTGCAACAAAGCCCACACAACTCAGGGTTCCATAGTGGGCACAATAAACCCTCAGAACCTTTGGCTATAGAAACGTGTTGGGGCTCTGCCAGTGGGAGAAACTGCCTGTATCTGAAAGCATGGAAAGAGCCAAGGAAACACCATTGCTGCCTCTCTGTCCCCTCCTCCACATACACTCCACAAAGCAGCCATGTGAATTGCCCCAACCTGGAGAATACATAAGGCTCTGCCCGTACAACATGAACAGCTATGCTTAATATAAAAAAAACATGAACCAAAGAAGATCAAAACAATGAACAGTTAAAATGACAACAAACGTACAACTGTCAACAACTGAAAGTTAAAAAAAACTAAGCAAACTACTAGAACAGGAATAGAGTCACAGGAATGGAGATCACATAGATGGGTAGTCAGCAGGGAGGAGGACCAAGAATGGGGAAAGGTTCAGTGAATAAGAAGTATAAATAGTAGGTACATAATAGACGGAGGAATGGTAAGAATAACATCGGAAATGGAGAAGCCAAAGAACTTATAATGTACGACTCATGGACATGACTAAGCAGGGGAATGCTGGAGGGAATAAGGGTACCGGGTAGATGTGGATAAAGGAGAGAAAGAAAGAATGGGACAACTGTGATAGCAAAATCAATAAAATATAATGAAAAGAATAGACAAATAGACCCCCCAAGTTTCAGTGGTACATGTTTGTTACTACAATGGTAAAGATGGGTTAATTTTTTTCCAAGAAATTATAACTTTAGGTTTTACTTTGGTGAAGCCTAAAACTATTAATTGCCTAATTCCCAGTTAGGGTGTTACCTGGTGGAAGTCAACCCAGAAGGGGTCTGAATTGTCCCAAGGAAGGTGAGGGGTCATTCTGAGTGAGGGTTTAGCGTGGGAAGAAAGAGAGACAAGTGGGGGTATGAGCAGGAGAGTAGTAATTTTCACCTGCAGACAGGACTCTAGGGACTGGCAAAGGGAGGAGGCTTGAGGTCCAATCTCAACATTCCTGCTTTGCTTTATTCCTGTGAAACATGTGCATGTCTCCTGAACTTGACTGCCTGTGGTCACAGTGGGAACAAGAGAATGGGCCAATAGCCACTTGCAAGGAGAGTCACACAATTTAAGGGGCACCAATAATCCCAGTAATCACTTTTTAGTGAAAGGTTGTTAAAACTCAAGATGAATGTAACATATGAACTTTTAACATTAAGAGAGCATGTTGTCCTGCTTTCTCTGAGTCACCTCTCTCACTGGCTCAGTTCTTCTCCTGGCACCTTGGGTCCTGGACAGAGAATGCCCAGAGTGGAACCCCACTAGCTGTGGGGAGCAAGACACAGTGATGTGCCTGTCCCTTAGAAGTTTTCATCATGCTGCTGTGTGTTTACCAGTTTGAATAACAAAGCCCTAGGCAACTCCTGGAATGTCATCCTGAGACCTCAGGGACATGTGTGCCTGTGCATCCTGCTCAGAGCAGAGGCTGAAGACCCTGCATGCCTTGGGTAAGTAAACCCATACCCAACTTCCACGCCCCTCTACCCTTAGTTCCAATATCCCTTATTAGGGTTTTAACCCTGAGTCACAGTAACAGTGACTCAGAGGTGATCATGAAACAGTACATGGAGTGATTGAAAAGTAATGATTTTATCTTAACTGATAGAAATCTCAGTGTGGCCAGAGTCAAATTCAGAAGCACACTCTGTTAGCACTTACAAGAAACAAACATTCCTGTTGGCAGAGTCAGTTAGATTCAATATGCTGTTTGACTTGGGAGTGAGGTGATTTATTCTGGTGGCTTAGTGTTTACATTTGTTCCTCCCTGATGTAAGTGTAAGAGCTGACATTTACCTCCAGTCACTGAGTGCAGCACGTTTCCTCTATATGTTCATTCATCCCAACACAAGTCCTCTGAGGTTGGCACTAAAATATCACCCTTACTTTACAGATGAGGAAAGTTGGTCTAAGAGGGTCAGCACCAGCTGAAGATCCGAGGGTAGAAAATTGCAGAGCTGACCTTGAATCCACTAGTCTAGGCTCAAAGTCAGGTCTCTCCCTACTAACCAAAAAATTCAAACATTCTAATTTTGTGTCATACAAACTGCACTTTAAAATTCAAAACTGAGCACACCTGTCCAGCTAGGGGGCAGCATTGAATCTGTAGAGTTATTTTAGAATAGTCAAAATATGTAAAATTGTACATACTTCCTTTAAGCACAAGATATGTGGCTATGTGAGTAAAGTTTCAGGATTTTTCCTGAACACACTGCGCTCTTCTGGAGGTCCATTTCAGTATTATGCTGCTGGTACTGTTCCTGTTGCCAATGTCACACTTTTCCACAATGTTGTCAGCTGGGAATGGCTGAGCTACAGGAGAGGAGTCACTTGTTCTGTGCTGAGCGTGGGTTCAACTCATGTGAGAAATTCTTATCAGTTTTAATAGGTTTTTTTCAGTAGATTATTTTAAATATTTAATTAATCAATTCATTTTTAATGTAATCTTTCTTGTAATAAAGCTTGCAATCTTTATTGCAATATTTTTTCCCATGACTAATCAGTTCCCTTATACCCAGCAATCTGCCCCCACCAATCTGCACACTGGTGCCCATGTCTATCAGTCTTCATCAACTCATTTTTCAAAAATTCTCAGTTGATGGTGTGCTTATTGTATTTACAGGAAATGGTGGCACCGAAATAAAGAAAAACATCAATGTGAGAGAGAACATTTTCAGAGACCTCTGCTATGCACCCCATCCCCATGTTGAAACCCCAACCTAGGCATGAGCCCTGGGCAGGAATTAAACCTTCACCTTTGGGTTTAAGGGACATCGCCCCAATGCTCTGAGCCACACTGGCCAAGACTCAGGTCATTTTATATATTCTTTCTCTTTGCCTGAAGAGAATATTTCTTACACTTTTCTACTTTCCTTTTTTAATAGGCAAGTTTTTTAGACCTGTTTAGGTTCACAGAGCAACTGA